TGGTGCTGCGCGGGCGGCCGGGTTGCCTGAACAGTAGGGAGAGGAATTGATGGCGGGATGGTAGGATGATTGCGCTGTTTAGGCTGACCGGCTGAGCTTTCGGAAATGATTAAGAGAGCGAGTGTACATGTATGTATGTGTGTAAATCTGTATACGTTACCCATTAGTAATGTTGCTGCACAAGAGCAGCTGCCCGTCCTTGCCTCCTCCTCCGTGCCATACCCTCCCCCCCTTCCACCCCTCCAAGAACCCCCCTCCTCCGATCCCCCCTTCCCCCCGCAGGCCAGTGCTCCGGTGGCCATGACTAATGTGGTCAACACGGTGCTCACGAGGTTGCACCGTGTCGTGTATTTCGCTCAGGAGCTGGCGATAGCCGGGGGTGTGGAGGCGCAGCAGGCGCTGTACCCCATACTGCAGGTTAGGCGTACCGTGTGTGTGTGTGTGTTCGGTGTGTGTATTGGGTGTGGGTGTGGGTGCGGGTATGGAGGTCGGGGCTGGGGTAGGGGGTGGGGTCCTAAAAGCCGTCACGGCACTCTTCGCTGGACGGAGACGGCGGTTACACGCATGGAACGCACCAACGATAGAAACCACCGCCCCGAAACCCCACCGTTATCTCTCATCTCCCCCTATTGCGTGTCCTCCCATTCTGTCCACATACCACCTCCCTCATATCCAACATAACCCAAATCTTCAGCCCCCGACAGAGTTCCGCACTCGCACCACCCCGCAGGTCTGAGAGATTTCCTGTAGGGGTTTGTTGCTTCGCCTCCTAAATCTCGATCCTTTCTCGCCTTTTCCCACCAGACCGATCCCAAAACACACCCGCCCCACCATAAAACCCACCCTAAGAAGTCCGAATCCCCCGATCCCCAAGAACCCGAATTCCCTCATCCAAATCCCCCTTTGGATCCACTTCCTCAAAACCGCCAGAGCGAGGTGGCGGCTCTCAAATCGGAGTGGGAGGTGATGTTGTACGGCGCCAACTCCACGCAAGCCACTGATCCCCATTTTGCACTAGCTCGTCGAGGAGTGGCGTTCGAGATGGGCCCCGCCACGAATACTCTGTTTGCGTCCGGAATGGCGTGTTGGACGCCCGATGCGTCGGACTGCTACCCCCCTGAACATCCGTACGCCGCGGTGAGGTGGTGTCGTACCCTGCACGACAGGGAGGATGGCATTGCTAAAGGTTGCGATTCCGCGGATGTTGTTGAAGCCCACATGTTGATGCGCACACCCACACACCCACACACCCACACACCCACACACCCACACACCCACACACCCACACACCCACACACCCACACACCCACACACCCACACACCCACACACCCACACACCCACACACCCACACACCCACACACCCACACACCCACACACCCACACACCCACACACCCACACACCCACACACCCACACACCCACACACCCACACACCCACACACCCACACACCCACACACCCACACACCCACACACCCACACACCCACACACCCACACACCCACACACCCACACACCCACACACCCACACACCCACACACCCACACACCCACACACCCACACAGACACAAGCGCAAATGTATGTATGTATGTGTATGTGTGATGTGTGTGACGTGTGTGTGTGTGTGTGTTTGTCACACACGACGCAGGTAGTGTACCGGGGCCTCAACGCGATGATGCAGCGTTTCTTTGTCGAGTCCGACCTCATGCTGCGGGACGCGCCTTCCGCCTGGCAATTGAATTCCAGCCGCCTCGACTACCTCTTCCACGAGGGCACCGGCAACCTCCATTGGGCGATGTTCCGGCTGACGGAGGTGCATCTGGAGAGCGTGGTGGCGCTGTACATGCGGGTGGAGGTGTTCCACGTGGTGGTGTTCGTGTTGTCGTGGCTGCTGGCGGGGCTGTTCCTGTTCGGTATGCTGAGGCCGTTCATGGGACACACGCAGGTCAGCGAGAGGGGTAAATGCGGGGGGTTGTTGGGAGGGGGAAGGGAGGGGGGATTGGACTGGGTATAAGCGTATAGGAAATGAACGTGTAATGTGTATTGACGTGTGCGTGTGCGTGTGCGTGTGCGTGTGCAAAAACAACTGTGTGGGGTTACGTAACAGATGAGTTATACAATCCATGGGATTGTACCTATGAGGTGAGTTGGGAAAGAGAGCAGCAGTGTTGGGGGGTTGCGTGTGTGTGTGTATGTGTGTATATATGTGTGTGTATACTGTACATGCTCTTTTGACGCACCCCATAGCAGACACACACACACACTCCCATCCTTACAAGTACGTCTCCTCGCCTTCAGTCTTCATCTCCTAATTTAATGTTTCCAACACACACACACACCCGCACTCAGCGCGAGACGGAGCGCATCGCCGAGATGCTCAGTCAGCTACCTGCCGATGTGGATGTGGAAGGGCTGCTGAACAAGGCCCTGATCAGCATCAAGGGTGAAGTCGTCACGCCGCGACGCGGTGAGGCTGGAGGGCGCTTTTCCTTGTAACGGGTAGACGGGGGGTTGGTGGAAAAAGGGGGGAGGGGGGGGGTCGAGCGGGACGGGGCCCGGTATGTGTGGGATGCGTGTATAGTGCTTGCTTAGTAAGGAGGTCCTGGTTCTTGAGCTGGTTGGTAGACACACAGACACACGACGCAGCTGAGCACGTGGGAGGGCCAGGGCCATGGTTATTAGTATCGTCATTATATCATCCATTATTATAATTTTCTTATTTTTTATTATACTATATTATTATTATATTTTTTTATTGCTATTACACGGAAGTTAACGGGTGTGTGTAAAACCTGAGGTCGGTCGATCGATTCCCGCTTCAGCTACCCAGCACGCAACGAGGACTGGCCAGGCTGCCGATGATACCCTCCTGCTGCTGTCCCTTCTCAGTACACCCTCCCCCCTTTTCCACCAGTTCTGCACAACATCTTCCCCCTTCCAATGCTTTAAACCCAGCCGTTCCTTCTTCTCCTCTCCTCCTTCCTTCCCCGTTGGCCCTTCCTCTGCCCCCTCACTCGCGCTGCAGTGGGTGATCAACGAACAGGGGGTCGCAACCGCGTCGTGCCGCTGTCCGCGCCCTTTGAGGGGGAGCCCGGAGAGCTCAAAGGAGGGCCCCGGCCACTGCCGTCCTTCACCAAGGGGGGCTGAGGGAGTGTGTGTGTGTGTAAATAAGTCTGAGCGGCGCATGTGTGTGTATGTATGTGTATATATAACATCTTCTGGAGTTGCGTTACCTTCCTTCAAAGACGTAATACGCGCCATGAGGGAGGAGCTCAAGGACCGGTCGATGGCTGTTATTTATCATCTGCGTGTAGCTGTGCAGCTGTGCAGCTGTGTAGCAGTGCTGTGGGGGCGGGATTCTGAAGACTTAATACGAGCCTACTGTCTGGTGTGGAACATAACTGATATCGGTAGTACGGACGCACTTCGCCTGTACATGGCAGCCGAAGGCATTGCCTCCAACGGCCATCGCCCAACGGCCAACGGCCAACGGCCAACGGCCATTGCCACCACTGCAACAATCAGTGCCTCCAACGGCCATCGCCGTCATACCCTCCCATGGCGATCACCACCAACGGCCATCACCGCCACTCCAACGGCCATCGCCGTCATACCCTCCCATGGCGATCACCACCAACGGCCATCACCGCCACTCCAACGGCCATCGCCGGAGTAACTAGTATCTCCTATCTGCTGGATTCGCTCATGGGATTCTGTGTGCATGATAATTGCGAACGAACTGTTAATTGCTCCTCACTCCCGACGGAGCTGCGCGGGCTTCCGTTCAGATCGGGTCGCGCGTGTTTGCTTACACCAGTTTTGTACGTGTTCCTTGCAGCGTAGCGGTATATACGAGGAACGTGTTCAAGACTGGTGTATATATATTATACATGCATGTACGTGTACTTGCATATCGGTGTTGGTGTATGTATGTGTGTATATATGTATGTACGTATATCTGTGTGTGGTTGAGATAGAGAGCTGTGCTCGTCAGGCGGGGGAGCATCGCCGTAACTACCATAACTATTGCGCAACCGCAACCGCTACCAGCTCCCAAACGCACCCAGGAAGCGTGCGTGGAGAGGCGTGGAGAGGCGTGGAGAGGCGTGGAGAGGCGTGGAGAGGCGTGGAGGGGCTGCTGTTTGGCTGCACGTGGTGTATGGAGTGGGTTTGCACGGAGAGAGGCTGCGCACGACACGTACGCGTCATGCTTTGCTTCTGTGGGGCCTCTCCCACTCGAGCAAGATGCTGTGGTCCGCATGTGCGACGTGGAATGTCTGGTGCGGGCGATTAAGTGGTTTGGGTTCATGATGCTGCGCGCGCAGCTGTCCGCGCACCTAGCGAGCCCGGATTGTCCTTCGTCCTATCATCATATCCTTTAGGAACCCCTGACATCACTCACTCACTCATTTATGTACCTGCACACTGATGGCTGCTGCTGCTGGCTTGCGTTGCTTTGCATTACGGCTCGCTTTACGTGTTCCGTTTACGTGTGTCACGAAAATATATTGCATTAAGACCGGTAGGTTGTGGAGGTTAATTATCTCAAACACATTCTTGCTGTTTGTTCCTCAAGTATGTAGGCACGTCTCGTCGAATGTCGAGCGTCGAAGGTGGGTCGGATGGTAGGGGGGCGGGACTCGGAAGCGGTTGATGATGGCGACCAAACTAAGCTCCCTCTGTGCTAGCTAGCTGATGACGCGCATGTGCTTTTTTTGAAGTCTTAACCGCCTTAATCATTTATCGTGAAAAGTGGAAAAGAAAGAAAGGAAAAGGCAGAAGCCGAGTGCTGATGATGCGCACAATGAGAACGAAATCTTCAAGAATAAACCAGAGTGAGAATTGTCACAGCGCGTGTGCTGCTTCTGTATGTCTGTGTGCGGGTCTGCTATTTCTGAGGAATTGTGCTGAGCTGTGCTGTGCCGCGCCGCAAGTATTTAGGATGCAGGGAGAGGGCACAGGGTAGCACAGGAGCGCGACCTTTTAATACCGAAGGGAGTCGTCCAGCGCTGTTGTAGAAATTGTTAAATTGGTGGATTCAATCACAAATGATGACAGGGGAAGTGACGCCAGGGTAAGCTGGTGTGCGTGTGTGTATGTGTGTATGTGTGCGTGCGTGCGTGCGTGTATGCATGTGTTCTACACATACTACAGCAGCGAAGGAGATAATAGCGGTGCTGATGTGGTGCTGATGGCTTTCGCCTATCCTAAAGGGCAGGAAAGTGCGAAAGAGCGACTTGCAAAAGAGCGCTATGCAGGGCAGAGGCGAAGTCTCGGCGAGCTAGGGCGGCGCGAGCAAACAAGGCGCTGGGTCGATCGGGCCATAACGGCGAGGAGGGTGAAAAAGGTTGAGTGCATGGAGTGCTATGAGGTGGTCTGGGTGAGCGAGGACAAGGAAGTGCATGGAGTGCTATGAGGTGGTCTGGGTGAGCGAGAACAAGGAAGTGCATGGAAACGTGGGTGCTGGAGATTCGTGCGACAAACTGATAGGCTGGCGAAAAAGCCGGCGAGTTGAGGAATATGTATATATGAAGACTGATATCGCATCCATAAGCAGGCGTGGCGTGGCGAGGCGTGGCCGGGGCCGGGGCCGGTTTGTGGTTGACCAAAGTTTACAGTAAAAAGGCCATCAACATCATGGGCGGCAAGTGACTAGCAAGGGGAACTGCGAACTGTTTCCTGCAGACCCACGACCAAATCATCCCCCAACAAAAACTCAACAATATGGCGTTACAACTCGCGCGAGAGGTCTTGATGTAAGGGAAGTCAACTTGGCTAACCAAGCAGGTCGGGGGGAGGTCGTAGCTGTGTGAGAAAAACACCTGCAGGCGGTACGGAAATCCTTGCATCGTATTCATTCCCTTTCGGCTCGTTGCGTATCGTATATCGCATGTAGGCTGCACGACTGGGGAAGTTGCAGCAGATGTAGCGTTGCAGTAGCGGCGGCGGCGGGAAGTAAGATGGCTGGCTCAGTTAACACTGGCGTGCTTTTAGACATACAGATATACGGTACCTCAATGTGCACCCGTGCATGCATACTGGCCAAGTTGGAGGGATTGCCGTTGCGGCAGGTGAGCGAGAACGGATGCATGCCGCCTACATGAATGCATGGCATGTGTGTGTATGTGTGTATGTGTGTGTTTATTTATTTGTGAATTTGCTCCGTCCAACCGGCGTGTGCGGCTTGTGGTCTTTCGGCTTTCATAGTTTTGCTTAGGTTTTCAGTTTTTCAGTCTCGTCTTTCCCATCCTGGTGCACGGCGGGAAAGAGCCAGAAGAGGAACCACTGCGTGACTAAGCCGTGTACTACTGGGACATTTACTGCGACTGCGACAGGTCCCATAAAGCCTTGCATGCGAAGACACAGCACGCAGGTAGGTATGTATGTACATGTATGTACGTATATATGTATGTATATTCCGCTCCTGACGGACGTACAGCCAGCTTTGCCCAAGCTACGTCATGTACCAACTGTACGGAGCTGACTGCTTTTGTGCTGCGTTGCGGTCACGATGTGATGTTGGGGGAGCCCATCACCTATTCTTTTCTGTATATCTGTATATCTGTCTGCCTATGTACATTTGCATGCGTAATTGTGTGACAAAATACTTACTATTAGTACCGGTACTAGCGTGTTCGCACGGGTGCTGCTGATTTCCATCATAGACCTTAGGCAGATTCCACAGCCACCACGTAAACAAAGATAGATCCAGATCCAGATCCAGATCCCTTGTAATGTCATCTGTTCAGAGAAGCCCTGCAGTTCACCTGAGGTGTCACGCACCTCAGCGCCTACATCAGCCGCGTGTTTTATTATTCGTGTTTCAATTTTTTTTTCGTGTTCGACTTCTTAATCGTGTCGTATTAATTGTGTTTTTGTCACCCCTGGTTTTGATGTTCTGGTTCCAGCTTTCAAGCAACAGACTTCGGCTGCACGGCGGTGGGCGGGCCGTGGCTGCTCCTTGTCACCAGCGCAGCACTAACCATGCAAGCAATCACGCAACAGCCCTGCGTTGCCTCTCCCCCCCCCAGTACTTGTCGTCTTCTCCTGGACTATATCCGTCTATCTCTGGTATTTGCTTCAAACGTCCGTGGTTCATCTTAACCCCTCTCCCTCCATCGCGACGCCCGCCAGGCAGATAGATTTCATGCTGCTAGTTCTCCCACGTCCTCTAGCAGTAGCAGTAGCAGTAGCAGTAGCAGTAGTCTCCTCTCAGAGCGGTTGTGCAATCCTGCTGTTAGCTTCCTGGTTACACCCAAACTGGCATGGGGTGAAGGCACGCAGGTGCATGGTACCTGGGGGCAGCGGGTTTACATATACACGCATACATGTGTGTGCATGTGTTTACATGGTTGGGGGTGCGTGACCCCATACCTGTAAAACTACCCATACGAGCCGAAGGCCCAAGGGCATACACATATATGTATATGTATAAACATTAATAGTATGTATTTGTATGTACGTCCGTTATTTCTACTTCATTGGCGTTAAGACTTACTACTCGGCTATATATGATGTGTGGGACAGGGGGTTCATATCTTCACCCTGCGGCCGCTACCCGGCAGACCCTGTACCCTTCCCCGGTATTTCGGAGCACCCTCATCCAGTCACCCTAGTCATCTTCTCAGTGGATCGCTCAGGTTCAGCACCCACCAACGGCATCCAACGGAATCTGCCGGATCAACGGCGGCTCAACTCCATTCCTGGTCAGCTCGCAAGTCAACTTTATCCCAGCTCACCACCGTCCATCGACTAGGGACACTCTCTTACCTTCCACCATCGTAAAGATTTTCTCGACCCTGACAGGTTTCGATCCCGGAACCTTCGGGGACATATGTTCCAGTGTGACACACACACAGCAAGCAAAGCACACTACCCCACGAAAATGTTCTTGGTTACCACTCCTCTCACAAAGTTAACCTGTTGACGTAGTCACACAAACCGCCAAACCCCACCAACAAAACCACCATCACTACGTACGCTCCTCACTGCTCGGCTCATCAGCATCACCGACACCGCTCCAGCAGTGCCGTAACCTCAGTGCTCATCGATCTACTGCTGGCTATGTATATATGCTAGTACTGCTGGCTATCCGCCCCTGCCCTGCACAGCTGTTTGTGCCTCCACTTCACTAGGCTGTGGCGGCGGAGACCTACTCGCCTTGCGGTTCCGTTATAGCCGTTATGGGCGGAACATAAGGCCCCAACTGCGCCTCGTAGGTTCGGAAGAACATCTCACGACATGGAACCTGCGGACGGTAGCACACAGACGGTTGGCGGTTGGAAGGCGGTTGGTAAACGGTTGGTGAGGAAAGCGTAAAGGAGAAAGCTAACCAGATCGTACCTGTTTGTTTGCCTTGGGCGGGGGGCCAAGCGGGTAAACACACATACATACATACATACATACATACATACATACATACACACAAGAAAAAGCACTAACATACACAACCCCACCGCCCCTAACCCCACCCACCCGCGCCTTGAGCTTCATGCACGCCAGGAAGGCTCCGCTCAGTTTCCGATGAAGGGAATACGACTCCTGGGGGGGCGGCGTCAGCCTGTGTTTGAGCATCACGGAGCCCAGCTCCGAAACCCGCGCCGTCATGCCGCCGTGAGATCCAAAGTCGTACAGGCCGGGGGCGGCGAAAGGCACACCCACCACGAAGCCCGCCTGTGTGTGTGCGTCCAGCATTACCTCCGACTCGTCTCCTGGCGGGGCGGTGGGAGGGGGACGCCGGCCCCCCGGGAGTTTGGGTGTGTGGGGTGCGTGCGGGGTGCCGATTGGGACTTAAGGGGGTTTGGAGCCAAGACGCAGGTGTACGGCTGACTACGGTACGGTACGGTACCCCAAACTCAAGTTGATGTGTTTACATAATTCATGTACGATACAAACGATACCGACAAGAGAATCTCCAAGAGTCAGATTTGAAGGGGCCCATTTTTTTAATAATAAAAAGTCGGACGTGTTATGTACGGCTTTCGTCCAACTACTACTAGGTAGTGTGCAATTTCTCGGGGGGGAAAACACCAAGGTCGTTTTTGTTGCGCCCCTGTGGCGCTAGCATGATGGGAAAGCCGTCTCTCGTGGGGAAAGGAGGCTTCGTGATGCCGTCCAGGGAGGGGGCCGGGTGTGTTGCGGAGTTGCAACGAACGTGTTGCTCTGGGCTTCAAATCCCTTCTCACTCGCCCTCTTTCCCCCTCCTCCCCCTGGGGCACCCCCTTTTCGGAAAACACAGGCACACGTTCCCCCCCACGTGGGATAACCCCCCGCGTTACATTCCCCCAAATACCTTCAAGCGGCCCCCCCTTACACACATACAGACGCACACATACATACACACACATACAGACGCACACATACCCGTCAGGAAGCCAAGCTTGACGGACATGTCAAGGACACCCTGGCGGTCCCTCTCAGCACACGCTGCCACCATCCGCAAGTAGTCCACCACGAAACCCTAGGAGTGTGTGTGTGTGTGTGTGTGCGGGGGGACGGGGAAGGGGAGGGGGAGGGGGCAGGGGGAGGGGGGCGTAGTGAGAGGAAGGGAGGCAGCGGACCTTTTATAGCGCCACGGAACCCAGGCACATACACACACACACATACACACACACCTCGGGGTAGTCCTTAGACGCGCCAAAATCAATGAGGTTGAGCCGATCAGCTTCCGTGTCGTACAGGAAGTTACCCCAGTTGGGGTCGGTTTGCATGAACCGCCACTCGAACAGCTCACGGAGAGTGAGTTGAAGCAACCGACTGCCAACCGCGTCACGAACTGGCTGCGGTAACTCGCGAACCTGCGCTTAATTAGGGGGCGAGGGGGCGAGCAATCGCGTAGTTTCCGTAGTTAGTTAGTTGGTTAGTTAGTTGGTTAGTTAGCTCACAAAGGGCGGGAGCTCAGGAGAACCCCAAAATGACATCACGATGACGTCTTCTGGATCACGCGGATCCGGAAAGGTCGCGAAATGTAATGTTCGCGTTATGGCTGAGGGCTTTGTGGGGGTTTTCGGAGGGGTGCGGCGACCCGACGAGTACTCCTTTTTCAACCCCTCACATCTCTCCCCCTCAGCCCCCACGGCCGCCGCCCATTTATGCACACCCCAGAACAAAACCCCCACACATACACACACACATACACACACATACACACACGCGCACCTACCTACTTACCTACTTACCTACATGCACATACACATACACAGAACTCCTTCCTACCCCATTTCCCGCCCCCTCCCCGTTCTCTCTCCCCTACACATACACATACACATACACATACACATACACATACACATACACATACACACACGCATACACACGCACTTTCCCCACCTTGTCAATGGGTATCCCCCGCACCCATTCCGATGTCAAGATGCGTTGCGAGGATAGTGACGGTACGACATCGGGTACGTGGAAATGTGCCGACAGGGCGGGATCTGAAGAAATGAGGGCCCGATACCGTTGCTGACACGCCAACTCGTACGTGTAGTCGCACTCGAGCGCCAACTCCCGCTTGGCGACCTAATGTTTCGGTTGAGAAGTCCGTTGGGGTTGGTTAGGTCGGCACTCGTTGGGAAAAAAGCTGGGCTGATTTTCTCCAGTTGGAGGCCGGTGTGTGTGCGTGTGTGCATGTGTTTTTGTGTCTAGCATTCCCAACACGCCTCATAACCATGGCTCCACCAGCCCGCATTTTCCCCCTTCCCTTTCTCCCCCTCCCAAAAACACCTTTCCCCCCCTCCCCCCTACCTCGTCATTGCTCTCCTCCAACCCCCAACCCCCAACCCCCGGGGTCCAACTTCCTTAACTAACTCCCAAACGGAGTTACCCTCCTCACTTTCAGCATTAGATGCCTTCCACGGCAGTCCATCTCCTCAATCGCAATACCATTTCTCCATTTCCCCCCT